TCTTTTTTTGCTCGTCCCCCCCCCCCCCCCCTACTGCAAACCAGGCTACAGCCCAAGCATGTATGGACAATAAATAATGTATTGAATAGTCTGTCTTTCGTTGATATATCTTTATCTTTTACGATTATAATGACATGCTAATTGAACAAATTCTACAATGATGTAACCAAATATTACAAAATGTTATCAATATCAGTTTTAATTACAGTATTGCAACATTCTAATTATAAATAATAATAATTGAAGTAGTGTGCTATCAAAAAATGTATTGAGTGTAAACAATAAACATCCTATTGAGTATTGTTTAATGAGCAGACTGCAAATTGTAATAAGTTTTCTAACACACAAATAATTTTTTCAGATGTAGAGAATACATAACACAAGACTCCAGTTGAGAAATCCTTGAAGATGGCAAAAGTTAAATCATGGAAAAGAAGTTATAATCTGCACTTTATCATACCAGAATGCTTACTTGAAGAATTCATTTTTCTGGCAGGTCCAGAACGTTGAAAGCTAGTAACGTACATATTTGTATTTGTTTACATATGATAATGACCAGTGGCGGACCCAAGGAACAAAGGGCCCTGGTGCAAGATGTTATCTTGGGGGCCCCCCCTCTCAAGATTTTATCTTCAGCCCCTAACCCCCCCGGCGGTCTCTGTACCAGAGGAGCTTACACTCTAATGTCACAGTCACACACTATTATTATACATTCATGTAGCTCTGACATATACCACAGTGCTGTACAGAGAACAATGAGCCAGTCACATTCGTTTCCGTACAGAGGAGCTCACACCCTAATGCAGAATGGCACCGGCTGTAGGACTACTAATCCCAGCAATACATTATACAGCAATGCAGAACAGTATATGAATAGGACTCAGGACTTTGCAATGCACTGGACACGGGACTTAGTAACACACTGGACTCTGGACTTAGTAACACACTGGACTCTGGACTTAGTAACGCACTGGACTCTGGACTTAGTAACGCACTGGACTCTGTAATAAGGTACACACTGGACTCAGGACTTAGGAATGCATTGGACTCAGGACCCACCTGAGACCCCACAGAGCCTACCTGAGACTCCACACAGCCCACCTGAGATTGACCCTGCACAGCCCACCTGAAAATCTCTATGGTGGGCTCTGCAGGGTCACTCTTAGGTGGGCTGGTCAAGGTCCCCTTCCCTGCACACGCAGCTCCTCTTACCTGCTATTGCTGGTCCCCGGCCTCCGCCGCCGCCAGACCGACACTGTTGGGGCCCAGCCTCCTCTGCAGCCGGATCGTCGCTGCTGAGCCCCCCGCCTCCTCAGGCGCCGGACTGGCACTGCTGGGCCCTGGCCCCGGCCTCCTCCACTTCCATCTCCCCCACTGCCAGTGAGCCCCCCAGCCTTGGGCCCTGGGGCGGCCGCAACGACTGCGCAGCCGGTAGTTCTGCCCCTGATAATGACTTACTTACAGGTGAAACTCGAATAATTAGAATATTGTGCAAAGTTCATTTATTTCAC